TAGATTTGTTTTTATTTTTTCGGTTAGGTTTAGTTCGGTTTGATTTTTTAGTAAAAAAATTTGTTTTTCTTTTTAACCGAGAATTGGAACAAGATTTGTAACATATATTTGGGTCTAAAGTTAAGTTTAACCTTAGATTGAAATTAGGCTAATAGTTGATTTGGAATAGGGGGGAAGCAAACACCGAACGTAAATAAATAAATAAATATTAAATTATATTCATTTGGTTCAGTTTTTGAACAACAAAAATCAAAACCAAACGAATAGTTTTTGGTTCAGTTTGCTTTTTAGTTTCGGTTTGGTTTTTTTTGTATTTGGTTCGTTTATTTTCAATTTTCTGAGCCCATCCAAAGCCAGGGGCCTTCCGAGCTGATTATCCTTCCAAAAAGAAATTCGAAGTTTATTTCCCACTTTCAAAAGGAGGGTAATATTAATTTTTGGGGTAATGCTAGTGTTTGGGACTAAAATACAGGATTTGGGCTGAGAAACGATAGCTAGCTCATCCTAGAAAACCATGATTTGGCGGCCGACTCATAATGAAAGTAGGATTATTAAGGGATCAAACTTAGACGTGGCTCGGTTGAGTATTGAAATTACTATGGATCAAGTCGAGTTTTGATAAGTTTGAATTATTCCAAGAATCGAAACTTACAGCTAATCAAATAAGAATGAATTAAGTGCATAAAGAGATTGGGTTTAGAATCCTAGTTCAAGTCAAAGAAAGGCCGAGACTAGCTAGAGAATGGGTTTCGGTTAAAAAGAGGATTGAAGAGAATGTCAAGGATATATGGGTGGATGCCGAGAAGGCATAGTCCTATCAGGACTCTACCTCGGCAAGCTTGGTTATCACGAAATCCACCACTATAAATAGAAGTGGTTTGACAACGTGAAAGCCCTTCAACTCAACAACTAACTCAAATGTTCTACGGGAAAACCCTCACTCTACATGAAACATTCTCAAATCCCTCAGAAAAATAATAATTATCATAACGCTCTAGCCAACACACCTTTAGTTTGGATTAACAACACTGTGTTGGGAACCATGACATATTCAGTTTGGATTAACAACACTGAAGTTGCAAAATTAAGTAATTTAGGAGCATCTTCAGTTTGAATTAATAACATGGCTTCTGGTTGGTTGATTATCTATCCAAGTCTCAGCCGGAAAAGAGTTTTCAATTATTTTGCCGAAATATATCACTTCACTAGCTTCTCAATGAAGTGAGGTGTTTTATGATTGCTTACTCACATGTGCATTTTAGAGTTGGGCACTCAGATGGTTAAACGACGTTCACCATAAAGACATTCATCTCCTTGGAATATCTTTGCCCATACAGCTTGATACCAATTCAACGCACTTATATTCTCATGAATATAGTTGAAGTTGCCTAACCTAGTGCAGAAGTCATCAGAGCGTTCAACACCACCACCACATCTATTCCCAACCAAGCTTGTTGCGAGTTGGCACGCCAGCATTCACAAAAAGGATGTAGTTAGCTAAACATATACTTAGCTTGCATACCATGTAGGTCTTGTAATTTTTAAGGTCAACATTTTGGCACGCACGGTGGGACTAAATGTTAAAAGCTACGAAGTTCATAACCATCAAGCTCGCTTTGTTAAGAAGAAAACGACAATGGGGAAAACATCTACAAGTCAGACATCTATAAATCAGACAATTCTACCTTCAAGCATAGAATTGGCACAGGATCCTCCTGCTTCCGTCACGGCAGATCGTGTAGAACATTGATAAGTGGAAATAAATCACGGCAACTAGAAATTAACGGCGATGGTTATTGCAAAGACTACTAAGGTCATCTCCAATGGAGAAGGTTAAAGTCCAAAAGTAAAAAATAGCCTGATTTGTCCAACAACTCATCTCCAATCGATGGTTGGCCAATAATTATGTGGAGCCACCAGACTATAATGTGGCCAAAAGGGCATTAGCTTGGCCAAATGTAGCCTCCTCTCTTAGCCCTTTTTAGGGCCTAGCTACTCACTTGCAATAATTTATTCAAATTCAACTACTAGATTCAAAAGCATCCAAAGGTAGTTTAATTAAATTAACCAATAAATTTGAAATATAAACTAAAAACTAATAAATTATTGAGGAGGCTATGTTTAGCTCATTCGGTTGGAGATGGTACATGATATGGCTTGACACTGTTATTTAAAAATAATTTTTTTGCAGGGCTATAATTTTGAACTGGCCTATATTTAGCCCTTTTGATTGGAGATGGCCTAAACCCACTGATTTTAGACCTCCACGATGAGGAGGACGATTAGACCTCAGATGTGCTTCCTAAGACCTTCTTTCAATGTAGGCTGCCGAACACATAAGACATCTTGAGCTTAGTTTGGAACATGAGCACGACCAACTTCATCTCAAGCAAGATATGGCGAGCTAGTACCATTAGGGAATACAACGATCTCATGAGGAAACAAAGCGGTTAATGGCATTGTTCATCAAAATTTGGCAATCTAGATTAGATACCATTCGGTGAAGATAAACCTTTGCAGCCGCAATGGTTCGAAGCAATGTATTAAAAGCGTGAGGCATGGGCGAGGCGTCTAAGGCAAAGCCCGGCCTAGGCATGAGGCGTGAGGCGAAGCCTCACGGGATTTAATTATATATATATATATATATATATGTTTTATATATTATACATATAATTGTATAAAAATAATACTATGTAAAATAAACATCCATTCTCAATTTTTCATTCAAATTCATAGTCATTCAAAAGATAATATCATCTAAATTCATCATTCAAAGGTAATATCATCCAAATTCATCATTCAAAAGGTAATACAAACAAAGAAAACAATAAACATTCGATGCATGCATACAGTTAATGAACCAACAATTTATTAATTAATTTATACACCCCCACTAGTAGAAAAACATGTTTGCGTGACGGCGCAAATTTCGTTGCACAAAGTATGTTTGCGCGACCTAAAACACAAAACTTCGCGCAAACGTCCTTTGCATGACGCCACTTTCTGCGACGAAAGTTGGCGTCGCGCAATACTGCTTTGCGCGACGAAGACTGCCGTCGCACAAAGTTGTTTTGCGCGACGCAGGTGCATCTACGTTGCGCAAAGTTGTTTTTTTTTTTTTTTTTGGGTTCTTGCATTGCCATTTTCTTTTGTTGTGTAAATGTTTTAAATTGATAATTGAATTAGTTCATTATATTCATAAGGGGTTAAAGAGTGTAGTTGTAAAAAATCATCAAAATCGGAGTTAAGATAACCGTTAAATCATGATTTTTTGTTTATAACCTTCGAAAAGTTTTGTCCCGATACTTGATCTCTGAATGTTTTTTTCTGTGATTTTTGGCATATGAGATCTTGAAGCATATACAAACAAATTTTGACGGTTGGATCGTTCAAACTAGTTTCATACAATGCGTTTCCCATCAAAATCAATGGTATATGTATTTACTACGTACATTTTCATTTATTTATTTTGTACTTATAAGCAAAAGGGCCCAAAAAAAAACAATAAAAACAAATAAATAAAACCTTTGCGCGACACAGTGGTACCTACCTCGCGCAAAGGCTTTTTTTTTTTTTTTTTTTTTTGGGTTCTTGCATTGCCTTTTTTTTTGTGGTATACACTTGTGTAAATGTTTTAAATTGATAATCGAATTAGTTCATTGTATTCTTATAGAGTTAAAGAGTGTAGCTGTAAAAAATCATCAAAATCGGAGTTAAAATAACCGTTAAATCATGATTTTTTGTTTATAACAATCGAAAAATTTTGTCCCGTTACTTGATCTTTGAATGTTTATTTTTTGCAATTTTTGGCGTATGCGATCTCGAAGCATTTACAAACAAGTTTAACGGTTGGATTGTTGAAACTAATTTCGTACAATGCATTTCCCATCAAAACGATAGATTCACTAACACTTAGAATTTATTAATACTTTCATCAACTATAACATAAGATTTTGTGGTATCCACTTGTGTAAATATTTTAAATTGAGGATCGAATTAGTTTGTTGTATTCATATAGGGTCAAGGAGTGTAGCTATAAAAAATCATCAAAATCAGAGTTAATATAACTGTTAAATCGTGATTTTTCTTTTATAGCTGTCAAAAAGATTTGTCCCTTTACTTGATCTCTGAATGTTTGTTTTTTGAGATTTTTGGCGTATGCGATCTCGAAGCATATACAAACAAGTTTGACGGTTGGATCGTTCAAACTAGTTTCATACAATGCGTTTTCCCATCAAAATCAATGGTATATGTATTTACTAAGTACATTTTCATTTATTTATTTTGTACTTATAAGCACAAGGGCCCAAAAAAAAAAACCCTTTGCGCGACGCAGTGGTACCTAATTCGCGCAAAGGCTTTTTTTTTGTTTTTTTTAGGTTCTTGCATTGCCTTTTTTTTTGTGGTATACACTTGTGTAAATGTTTTAAATTGATGATCAATTAGTTCATTGTATTCTTATAGAGTTAAAGAGTGTGGCTGTAAAAAATCATCAAAATCGGATTTAAAATAACCGTTAAATCATGATTTTTTGTTTATAACATTCGAAAAGTTTTGTCCCATTACTTGATCTCTGAATGTTTATTTTGTTGCGATTTTTGGCGTATGCGATCTCGAAGGATTTACAAACAAGTTTGACGGTTGGATCATTGAAACTAGCTTTGTACAATGCATTTCCCATCAAAACAATAGATTCACTAACACTTGGAATTTATTAATACTTTCATCAACTATAACATAAGATTTTGTGGTATACACTTGTGTAAATATTTTAAATTGAGGATCGAATTAATTCGTTGTATTCATATAGGGTCAAGGAGTGTAGCTATAAAAAATTATCAAGGAAATATTTACTATGTCTTTGTGGGCAATTTGAAACTTTCTTTTGTCTTTTACAAGGAAATATTTACTATGTCTTTGTGGGCAATTTATAACTTTATTTTGTCCGTCTATGCAATGCTCCCTTACAATATATTAGATTATTCTGAAATATTATTATATTAAGCTTAGTATATTACATTATTTTCTTTATTTTCTCCCCTTTCTGAAGCATTACAATTTATTACATGATTGACACGCATCTATTCAAGGTGTCCTTGCTGAAACATTACAATATATTACATTATTTTGAAACAGAATACAAGACTCAAATTCAAACTACAAGCCTATTATTGAAATAGAATTAACATGGAATATGCATCCCATTTTAATTGAAAGGCCCCGCGTGAGAAAATAAAGTGTCACAGATGCACAAACTTAAGCATTTTCTAAAGTGAGTATTGCTTCAACAATTGGGGAGGTGTCACTGCCAGTTGACATGATTGACACGCATCAATTCCAGGTGTCCTCGCTGTACGGACGAGTTTGACACAAGAAATTATAGATTATGTCCCAAGTTCCTTCCTTTTCAAAGTGGCCAGGTTCGCGAATCTCTGTATAGACCTGCACTTACGTACATATTGTGAGGATTCGAGGGATATCGAATGTGTTTAGTTTTTATATTCGTTAGTGTAAATATAGTGTTATATTAAAAAAGAGTTGTACTACTAACCGTGTTGTCCCATTTAGTCCTTCCCCATGGGTTGCTCCAGGACAACATCCAATCACATTCGGTACCATTCTTATCCGTGCCTCGGTACACAACAGCCGCAGTGGATCCAGAAGACTCACCGGCAGTTTTGACGTGCAGAAACGCACCCCACTGACCATTTGCAATCAGTGCTACGTATGGTGCCTTTCCGATGTGCCCCAACCAATCTTTCTTATCAGAATATGTTATGGTATCCCCAGTTGCATTGTAAACAAGGCAGAGTGTGGACACTCCGTCGCCATACTGCTCCTTCAATTTTTCCACATGTGTTCGAGCGTTGAAGTCCTTTTCCGCGGCATTTTTCATATTCAGTGCCACGAGTGCCCTGTCTAATTTTCCTATTGTCTTGCCGGCATACTCTGGCATCCCCTCCAAAGTTTCATTCGTGATGGGGTTGCCAAAAACGTTACGCCATCTCTAGACTGAACTCAAATTAATTTTCTCCCCCTCTCTCTCTCTCTCGCGATTTTTCTTGGAGCATTTCTTGGTGAGGCATGCATATTTATATAATCTCATGAGCAGGCATGTTTAGCAAAAGGAAAAGTCTAAAGTGTCCCTTAAGAAAATAAAAACTAAAAAATAAAAAAAGAACATGATATCATGTCCCTGTATGATGTGGAAACAATCGCATGATGTTTTGGAAGTCAATGAGGGATGCATGAAGCATGCATGGAATCACACTATCACGTGAATAACTATTTTCAAACTTACATCTACCAATTATGATAGTGAAAGTTACTGGGAGGTAGATTGTCTGCCCTCCTGTTTGGGTGTTCTTCCCATCTCCTTTTATTTGTGTGGTCACAGTTAAGCCGCGTCAACCTTTTATATTCTTATTGCTTTTTGTCTTATTATCTCTATAAAAAAATTAATATAAAATGTTGACGTAGCTTAACCGTGACCGCACAAAATAGGAGGGATGGTAAGGGTACCCAAATAGGATGGCAGACAATCTGCCTCCAAGTTACTGAGCCATTCTTCAAAAATACAAACTTCTCATTTGACGTGCGTGATGTGACTTTATTTCTCCAAAGTGTAGGTAAATAACATAGGTAAAAATGTATTACAATGGTTGAAGTGGCATGTTGCTTATCCAATTATCTTGCAATAGGCAAACCAAGTAAATTTTATTTTACTTCATCTTTAGTTACGTGAGATCCAATTGGAATGAGGCAATATTGCCTACTTTGTGAGTGTAGGCAAAATTTACCTATCTAATTGACTACACCATCGGAGCATGATTGCTAACTACATTTTGGTTTCACATAAACAACGATTAATTTTGACAATAAAATTGAGGCAAATGTGGCGATTTTGAAGTAAGCAAGAGATGCATGTGAACAAAGTTTTGGTTTCATATAAACAGCTATTGATATTGAATTGAGGAAAAAAAGTTTGTTGATATATGATATTGTCATTGACGTTGAGGCAAACACGGCGATTTTGAAGTAAGTGACAGATGCATGTGAACAAAATTTGGGTTTCATATTAACAACTGTTGATATTGAAATTCAGGAAGAAAGTTTGCTAATATATAATATTGTCATTGACGTTATGGCAAACATAGTGGTTTTGAAGTAAGTGAGGGATGGGCAAACGCGGGGGTTTGGAAGTAAGTGAGAGATGCATGTGAACAAAGTTTTGGTTTCACATTAACAATCGTTGTTATTGAAATTAAGGAAAGAAAGTTTATTGACATATAATATTGTTATTGATGTTGAGGCAAACACGGCCGTTTTGAAGTAAGAAAGGGATTCATGTGAACAAAGTTTTGGTTTCACATTAACAACTGTTGATATTGAAATTGAGGAAAGAGAGTTTGTTGATATATAACATTGTAATTGACGTTGAGGCAAACGCGACAGTTTTGAAGCAAGTGAGGGATGCATGTGAACAAAGTTTGAGTTTTACATTAACAACTGTTGATATTGAAATTGAGGAAGAAAGTTCGTTGATATATAGTATTTTCATTGACGTTGAGGCAAATGTGGCGGTTTTGAAGTAAAGGATGGGAAAACTCGGCGGTTTTGAAGTAAGTGAGGGATACATGTGAACAAAGTTTGGGTTTCACATTAACAACTGTTGATATTGAAATTGAGGAAGAAAGTTTGCTGATATATAATATTATCATTGACATTTAGGCAAACATGGCGATTTTGAAGTAAGTGAGGGATGCATGTCAACAAAGTTTTGATTTCACATTAATAACTACTGATATTGAAATTGAGGAACGAAACTTTGTTGATATATAATATTATCATTGACGTTGAGACAAATGCGCCGGTCTTGAAGAAAGTGAGGGATGCAAGTGAACAAAGTTTTGATTTCAGATTACCAACTAATAATATTGAAATTGAGGAAAGAAAGTTTGTTGATATATAATATTGTCATTGACATTAAGGCAAACGCAACGGTTTTGAAGTAAGCGAGGGATGCATATCAACAAATATTGGGTTTCACATTAACAACTGTTGATATTGAAATTGAGGAAAGAAAGTTTGTTAATACATAATATTGCCATTGACGTTGAGGCAAACGCGGCGATTTTGAACTAAGTGAGGGATCGGGATTAACATTAACAACTGCTGATAATGAAATTGAGGAAGAAAGTTTGCTGATATACAATATTGTCATTGACGTTGAAGCAAACGTGACGGTTTTGAAGTAAGCCAGATATACATGCGAACAAAGTTTGAGTTTCACATTAACAACTACTGATATTGAAATTGAGGAAAGAAAGTTTATTGATGGATAATATTGTCATTGACGTTGAGGCAAACTCCGCAGTTTTGATGTAAGTAAGGGATGTATGTGAAAAAAGTTTCGGTTTCACATTAATAAGAGTTGATATTGAAATTGAGGAGGAAAGTTTGCTGATTTATAATATTGTCATTGATATTGAGACAAACGTGGCGGTTTTGTAATAAGAGAGGGATGCATGTGAACAAAATTTGGGTCTCACATTAACAACTGTTGATATTGCAACTCAGGACAAAAGTTTGCTGATATATTATATTGTCTTTGATGTTGACGCAATCGCGGCGGTTTTGAAGTAAGTGAAGCATCAGCAAACTTGACTGTTTTGAAGAAAGTGAGATATGTATGTGAACAAAGTTTTGGTTTCATATTAACAACTGTTGATATTAAATTGAGGAAAGAAAGTTTGTTGATATATAATATTGTCATTGACATTAAGGCAAACGCGACGGTTTTGAAGTAAGCAAAGGATGCATGTGAACAAAGTTTTGGTTTCACATTAACAATAGTTCAGATTTTAATTAAAGATGAAAGTTTGCTGATATATAATATTGTCATTGACGTTGAGGCAAACGTGGCGGTTTTGAAGTAAGTGAGGGATACAAGCGAACAAATTTTGTGTTTCACATTAACAAGTGTTGATATTGAAATTCAGGAAGAAAGTTTGTTGATATATAATGATGTCATTAACGTTGAAGCAAACGTGGCGACTTTGGAAGTAAGTGAGGGATGCATGTGAACAAAGTTTGAGTCTCACATTAACAACTGTTGATATTAAATTTGAGGATGAAAGTTTGCTGATATATAATATTGTCTTTGACGTTGGCGCAAGCGCGACGATTTTGAAGTAAGTGAAGGATCAGCAAACTTGGCTGTTTTGAAGAAAGTGAGAGATGCTTGTGAACAAAGTTTTGGTTTCACGTTAACAACTATTGATATTAAAATTGAGGAAAGAAAGTTTGTTGATATATAATATTGTCATTGACATTGAGGTAAATGCGGCAGTTTTGAAGTAAACGAGATATGCATGTGAACAAAGTTTTGGTTTCACATTAACAATAGTTGATATTGAAACTAAAGCAGAAAGTTTACTGATATATAATATTGTCATTGATGTTGAGGCAAACGCAGTGAATTTGAAGTAAGTGAGGGATACAAGCGAACAAATTTTGGTTTTCACATTAACAACAGTTGATATTGAAATTAAAGGAGAAAGTTTGCTGATATAAAATATTATCATTGACGTATAGGGAAACGCATCGGTTTTGAAGTAAATAAAGCACACATGTGAAAAAAGTTTTGGCTTCACATTAACAACGGTTGATATTGAAATTGAGGAAAGAAAGTTTGTTGATGTATAATATTGTCATTGACGTTGAGGCAAACTCAACGGTTTTGATGTAAGTAAGGGATGTATGTGAAAAAAGTTTCGGTTTCACATTAATAAGAGTTGATATTGAAATTGAGGAGGAAAGTTTGCTGATTTATAATATTGTCATTGATATTGAGACAAACGTGGCGGTTTTGTAGTAAGAGAGGAATGCATGTGAACAAAGTTTGGGTCTCACATTAACAACTGTTGATATTTCAATTGAAGATGAAAGTTTGCTAATATATGATATTGTCTTTGACGTTGACGCAATCGCGGCGGTTTTGAAGTAAGTGAAAGATCAGCAAACTTGGTTGTTTTGAAGAAAGTGAGAGATGTATGTGAACAAAGTTTTGGTTTCATAGTAACAACTGTTGATATTAAAATTGAGGAAAGAAGTTTGTTGATATATAATATTGTCATTGACATTGAGTCAAACGCGGCGGTTTTGAAGTAAACAAGGGATGCATGTGAATAAAGTTTTGGTTTCACATTAACAATAGTTCAGATTTTAATTAAAGAAGAAAGTTTGCTGATATATAATATTGTCATTGACGTTGAGGTAAACGTGGCGGTTTTGAAGTAAGTGAGTGATACAAGCGAACAAATTTTGTGTTTCACATTAACAAGTGTTGATATTGAAATTCAGGAAGAAAGTTTGCTGATATATAATATTGTTATTAACGTTGAAGCAAACCTGGCGACTTTGAAAGTAAGTGAGGGATGCATGTGAACAAAGTTTGAGTCTCACATTAACCACTATTGATATTAAAATTGAGGATGAAAGTTTGCTGATATATAATATTGTCTTTGACGTTGGCGCAAGCGCGACGATTTTGAAGTAAGTGAAGGATCAGCAAACTTGGCTGTTTTGAAGAAAGTGAGAGATGCTTGTGAACAAAGTTTTGGTTTCACGTTAACAACTATTGATATTAAAATTGAGGAAAGAAAGTTTGTTGATATATAATATTGTCATTGACATTGAGGTAAATGCGGCAGTTTTGAAGTAAACGAGATATGCATGTGAACAAAGTTTTGGTTTCACATTAACAATAGTTGATATTGAAACTAAAGCAGAAAGTTTACTAATATATAATATTGTCATTGATGTTGAGGCAAACGTAGCGATTTTGAAGTAAGTGAGGGATACAAGTGAACAAATTTTGGTTTTCACATTAACAACAGTTGATATTGAAATTAAAGGAGAAAGTTTGCTGATATAAAATGTTGTCATTGACGTATAGAGAAACGCAGAGGTTTTGAAGTATGTAAAGCACACATATGAAAAAAGTTTTGGTTTCACATTAACAACGGTTGATATTGAAATTGAGGAAAGAAAGTTTGTTGATGTATAATATTGTCATTGACGTTGAGGCAAACTCGACGGTTTTGATGTAAGTAAGGGATATATGTGAAAAAAGTTTCGGTTTCACATTAATAAGAGTTGATATTGAAATTGAGGAGGAAAGTTTGTTGATTTATAATATTGTCATTGATATTGAGACAAACGTGGCGGTTTTGTAGTAAGAGAGGGATGCATGTGAACAAAGTTTGGGTCTCACATTAATAATTGTTGATATTGCAATTGAAGACGAATGTTTGCTAATATATGATATTGTCTTTGACGTTGACGCAACCGTGGTGGTTTTGAAGTAAGTGAAGGATCAGCAAACTTGGTTGTTTTGAAACAAGTGAGAGATGTATGTGAACAAAGTTTTGGTTTCACATTAACAACTGTTGATATTAAAATTGAGGAAAGAAGTTTGTTGATATATAATATTGTCTCTGACATTGAGGCAAACACGGCTATTTTGAAGTAAGCGAGGGATGCATGTGAACAAAGTTTTGGTTTCACATTAACAATAGTTCAGATTTTAATTAAAGAAGAAAGTTTGCTGATATATAATATTGTCATTGACGTTGAGGCAAACGTGGCGGTTTTAAAGTAAGTGAGGGATACAAGCGAACAAATTTTGGGTTTCACATTAACAAGTGTTGATATTGATATCCAGGAAGAAAGTTTGCTGATATATAATATTGTCATTGACGTTGAAGCTAACATGGCAGTTTTGAAGTAAGTGAGTGATACAGGCGAACAAAGTTTTGGTTTCACATTAACAACTATTGATATTGAAATTGAGGAAAGAAAGTTTGTTGATATATAAATTTGTCATTGACGTTGAGGCAAACTCGGCGGTTTTGATATAAGTAGGTGATGCATGTGAACAAAGTTTCAGTTTCACATTAACAGCTATTGATATTGAAATTGAGGTGGAAAGTTTGCTGATATATAATATTGTCATTGACGTTGAGACAAACGTGGCGATTTTGGAAGTAAGTGAGGGATGCATGTGAACAAAGTTTGAGTCTCACATTAACAACTGTTGATATTAAAATTGAGGATGAAAGTTTGCTGATATATAATATTGTCTTTGACGTTGACGCAAGCACGACGGTTTTGAAGTAAGTGAAGGATTAGCAAACTTGACTGTTTTGAAGAAAGTGAGAGATGCATGTGAAAAAAGTTTTGGTTTCACATTAACAACTATTGATATTAAAATTGAGGAAAGAAAGTTTGTTGATATATAATATTGTCATTGACATTGAGGCAAATGTGGTGATTTTGAAGTAAGTGAGGGATGCATGCGAACAAAGTTTTGGTTTCATATTAACAATAGTTGATATTGAAATTAAAGAAGAAAGTTTGTTGATGTATAATATTGTCATTGACGTTGAGGCAAACGTGGCGGTTTTGAAGGAAGTGAAGGATACAAGCGAACAAATTTTGGGTTTCACATTAACAAGTGTTAATATTGAAATTCAAGAAGAAAGTTTGCTGATATATAATATTATCATTGACGTTGAAGCAAACGTGGCGGTTGTGAAGGAAGTGAGGGATACAAGTGAACAAAGTTTTGATTTCACATTAACAACGGTTGATATTGAAATTGAGGAAATTTTGTTGATATATAATGTCATTGGCTTTGAGGCAAATGCGGTGGTTTTGAAGTAAGTGAGGAATGCATGTGAACAAAGTTTTGGTTTCACATTAACAACTATTGATATTGATATTAAGGAAAGAAAGTTTGTTGATATATAATATTTTCAATGATTTGCATATTGGGACTCAAGAAGTGAAATTTAACAATATTTTCATCGGAGTTTTATGCTCGCTATTTGGCAGCCGTGATTTAATTTTTATAGAGGTAGCCGTTGTTTCAATGGTCTGCATATTTGGGACTCAAGAAGTCGGACAATCTAATAACCTAACCGAGGCTAACAACGTAGAAAAGTAAGAAATTAAATTAAATTATTTAAATTATATGTTAGTGGATGTCCTATGTTTTAAATCGTAGGATTACTACTTTAGATATGGTAAAATGCGGATAAATGCACGAAAAGAAAATTGTAGATACTCGGAATTTCCATATATAACTAATTAAGCCTCATGAAAGTTGTCATCCACAAAAGATATAAACAGACATTCTTTTTAGTTCTGATCATTAGATCAGATCAATCAAACAAAACAACAAGCATGATTAAACATGAATATACTTGATTTGTAATGGACTGTCTTTTAGTTTGTCTTTGGGTGTTTAAGCTCCTTTTTTCATATAATGCATTCAAAAACATGAATGTACTTGTGAGAGGCTTCGCCCACTACTTCACTATATATAAACAGGTTAGGGGCTGGTTTGGTATTGCTGTGCTTTGAAAAAAAACCGGTTCTGCTATGCTGTGAGAATAAGCTCATTTTTGCTGCTTCACGTTTTCAGCTTTTTTTTCATCCAAAACTGTGAAAATAAGCTGTTTTTAAGTGTTTACCAAACATTTTTTTGAGCTCAGTTTTTTTTTACACCCACTTTTTATAAAAGCACCTCAGTATCAAACTAGCACTAGCTCACTTGTCGCGCTTTGAACTAAAGCTATAAATGCATCCACCTAGAAAGACTTACACTACCACCACCACCACCACCGTTATTGTGCGTTGTCTTCTTCCTCCTCCTCCTCCTCGTCCATTATGTCTCAGGCAGACTTTAATCACTTTACCTATCTCGGTCCTGAGCAGCTGCGGAAGCTTGCTCGTATAATTTACTACCAAGAAACTGAGGCCATTAAGAATATCCAGTTTGAATACGAAGCCAAACTCGCGAAATACCTCCGAGATTGCAAAGCTTGTTACGAATCGGCGATAAGGCTTTTGGATAGTGGTAGTAAGTTGGAGCCTTGGTTTAATAATGACGACAACGATCGGGCTTCTATTGCTCACGACATCTACGGTTATGTTGTAAACGCTACCAACCATGCACTCCAGTTCGTGCGCAACTTTCGTGTGCGAATGGATTACGTAAACAAGATTGAAAAGCATGTCGACGGCCTTCGTGCTGAACTGGATGATGATCTGACTAATATGGAAGAGCTGGCAAGAAAAGCTTCCACATTCAGGAACGACATGCTGGAGATCGCCAGGGGTAGTCAAAGTCCAGCATCACGCCAATACTCCAGATGGATCAAGGAAACCGGCAAGTCGTTTGAAGAACTAGTGCAGAAGTATGTATGTTGTGTATATCCTGTATATATTACATACATACAATTGTTTGACCAAAAGAATTGTTCTAATTTTTTTTTTTTTTCCCTGACAAATTCTACAATTACTTGATATAACATTAATGAGTGTGTCTATTAATGGGTGCACCATTCGTGCAGGTATCAGACAGACCTTGGATACGGGGGACTTCTTTTCGAAGAACTGGAAGATGTAGTAAAGATACGGGTAATACTAATTAAGGATTTGCTATATATCATTATACTGCACAGTTACGACTGTACTTGAATATTTATTTTTATTTTATGTTTTTTTGGTAATAGTCGGTGATTTTTTAGGACATCCTCACTTGTAGAGGGGTTTTTATCATTTATAGCCAAAATTTAGCACAAATTCATTAATGTCAGTTTTTATAAAACAATTCAAATATAGTCAAAAGTTCACTTGAGACCCAAACTACCCCCAAAATTAAAAGTTAATTACACCTAAAACCAAAAGCTAATTAAGCATCGTTGTTCCCCAGTAACATTGCTGCCATATTGGGATCCAGAGGCAACAAAATCAATTTTCTTAGACTTTGGATTTGAATCGTCATATATATGATTCTCCTCACAGAAGAAGCCAATCACCATAAAATCGATCTAAAATATTCTCATCTTCCAATGCACTTGTCTGGAGTGATTTGGTACAAAGACCTTCCCCCGCCTCCCTCTTTTTCTTTTGCCTTTTACAGATCCATATTAAAATTGATTCACCGGTTGTGCATAGTATGCTCAATTTCCCTTAATTAAATGCCTAATTTGGGTAACCCTCAACTTAAAGAGATCATATGCAGAATGCATAAGAACATGCAATAGCAGTTTCATAAAAAAAAATTACCTGCCGAATACAATTTTAAAAATATCCAGAAGTTAATAGTTCTAACAAAATTTTCTAAGAAATATCAATTAATTATCACACAAGAAAATTCAAAAACTGTAGTTATGTGAAATTTTATGATGATCTTCGTTGTAGGCTTGTAAATTAAGAAATGAAATTTGATAATTTGATTTACTTAATTTTCATTAGAATAAATACCTCTTTATTAAATGTTTAATTTCATCAGGCTCCTTTTTCTATCTTTTTTTATTCGAATTGAGATATGAAAATAATTAAACCCTAAAATGAAAAAAAACACAAAGAGAATCTCTTTGGCGTTGGTTTTCCATTTTGAGGGTAATTTGGTATATTGATGTGAGGTTTTGGCTATAAATGATAGTTTTTATAAAAACTGACAATTTTGAATTTAAGACATAAATTTTGGCTATAAACGATAATTTCTCCTCATAGAGTGACTCATATACATTAGGGGCTTTTTACTTTCTAGTAATTATTCTAAAGCCTAAAACTGGAAACAAAACTGCAGCCATTTGAATGATAAAGAAAAGCAAGAATTGGTATTAGATTGTATATACATGGGAAACATTTGTTCCGTCTCTGGTTGACCTAAATCATAAACTGAAATTTTATTAATTTGAATATTTTGATTGAATGACAAAATGTTAAATTTTAGTATTAATAAAAAAAAGATTAATAATTCCTCCCTAATCATGGAAAGTTGAACACCAAGTGGGAATTTTTATTTTTTTCCTCAAATTTTGAAATGTGTAAAATTTGATCAGATTTTTTTATTTTTGTCAATTTTTTATTTTGAAATATGGGTACTTTAAAAAAAAAAAAAAACAGGATACATTTTGTTATAAAATAAGGGTAAATTACAGATAAAATTTGACTATATTTTACATTAAAAAATGGGTACATTTTACTTTAAAAATTGGCACATTTTACATATAATAAAGTGGCAACATTTTTTTTTATTATGAAGATAGGTATATTAGAAATAAATTAAGGGTACAAATAAAATGATTTTAAAAAATTATGAGTACAGATATAAGTAAAAAAAAAAGTGCACAAAAAGAAATTAAATATATGAGTACCAACTAAAACTAAAATGAAAATTGTTGCGGATTAAAAAATGGTTGCAAATTAAAAAATGAGTATAAATTAAAAACAGAAATATGAGAGCAGATCCGTGACATCACTTTTTTACACAACTTTTAACATATATTTTTGTAAGGGCCACTCTGTAATATATTTCAACGATTGAATCGTCTATTTTTTAGGTATTCCCTCAAATATCATGTTTACCAAAATCACTCAAATCTGACACCACATGACCGTTGAATTAAATTAAGTGTTTCTTTGTGGAACTGTATTCGTACATTCCCTTCACTACAAATGAATGTCCTAATGGTTTTGGATTTGTCTAATTTTTGCAAGGATAATCTATGAACGATGTTCTAAAATGTAGACGGTCTAGATCGTTGAAATACATTACAAAATAAGCCTTACAAAACTTGGGTAAAAAATTGTTTAAAAAAAAAGTGGTGCCACGAATCAGCTCTCTAGAAATATATGATACATATCTTAGCCATAAATATAATTATACCAAATATAATTTTTTTTTAATTAAATAAAGATATTTGAAAATGTTTAAATATTTTTTTAATAAGCGATATTATCAACATTAAGGGAGAGGGGTGGATTTAGCCTCACAATAGGCTAGCAATACTGGGGTTCAAATTCGCCTTTGACGAGAATCGAATAAAAAACCTCTCACGTACAAGTAAAGAGGAATATCACTATACCATAATATTGATGATTAAATAATTTTTAAATATAAAATTTAAATATGATGACATGTTAATAATTAATTCTTTAAATAATAATGTGAAGAAAAAAAATCAAAAGACCTTGATTACAAATTGAAAAAGAATAAGGTTCAATCAATAAAATAAAAAGTTAAGGAATAGAAACCTAATTTCTCCGTATATAAAACACATTTGACATACGCTTTTAAAAACACGCATGTTTTACAAACATTTGGATTAATCCACTTCAAAATTTTAGATTGTGCTTGTCATTTAGTAAATTCAACAATTAAAAAGTATCTTAATTTTTATCAAAAAGTATATTAATTGATTTTGTATTAGCATGAAACCATTTTGGATTAGCCACGTCAAAATCTTTCCACTTCCGAATACGTCCCAGGCTCAAAGCTCTATCCTCTCCTAAATTATTTTAATAGTTTCAAATTTTTACTCCTTCCCTTAATAATAATAAAGTTCAAAGAAAAAAAGCCACGACAAAAGACCTCAGTGCACATACGTACATAGAAATGAAACCATCTATTAGTATTGCTATGAAAAACTAATAAAAAGAGTTTCACAAACATTTTTATTTAACAAAAAAGAACATAATAAACTTTTCTTAATGATAAGAACACAAAAATGAAAAAAAAAAAAAAAAAAAAAAAAGCAATGGCATTTTGTAAATAACTTGAACTTTGATGCCAACGAGTACTGTTTATACGCGATTAGATTAAATGTTTATACACTGGTCATAGTTTTTTGGTGACTTGTGTATAAACAGTTGCTCTATTCGTGTATAAACAGTCAGTGCCAAATTTAACTTATTTATGAAAATGTCAGCGCCTCTCAAACTTCAACTTATTTACAAAAATGTCACTGCCTCTTTTTCAACTTTAACTTATTTACAATACAGCTATCAAAGTTCAATTTATTTAAGAAAATGTCAGTGCTCTTTTTTCTTTTTTCTTTTTTTGTCGTTATTATTATTAAATTTTCATTAATTGTTTTTATTAACTATTTTTCCAAACTTCACTTGTTCCTATGTACGTATAGGTGTTCGGAAAAATAATATTTGCATCGGGGCGGGCAAATATTAATGTAACCGCCTATTCAAAGATGTTTGGGGCTGCTGGCATTGCTGTTCTTATTTTTGCTACAGGATTTATGGTATGGGACATATTTTCAGCAGATAACCCTCTTCAAACGGCAGTGCGTGATGCTGTAATAACTGCAGCATCAATTGGTGGTGCGATGATAGGAGAACTTGTTGGTGTTGCCCTCGCGGCCATGGTCACTGCTAATCCGTTGTTAATACTCATGGCAGGAATAACAGCGAGCATTGCCGGAGCTTTTCTTATTGGAGAATTTGCCACCTGGTTGATTGATGTGGTTTTTGGGTCTGGAGGCCGTGCCTCATTGAGCACGATGGGCCATCGATGTTACGTCGCACATTTGCCCGACGGCTCAGTTCTAGCACGCCGAATTGCGCATCAGCAATCTTAAGAAAGTGAGGATGTACAGATCCTTATCGATTATGAGCACTACTACACCCAAGTCTACATATTATCCGTACTGAATAATTTGAGGCATATTTTATGTCACACTGCTTTTAATTTGTACCGTTTATACGAAAGATGTGGTAATCCAAAAACCAAATCTATAAATAAAGGTAATGCCATGCAATGATAATCAAAACTTAGTTTTTCATGTACGCAAATTATACAGCACCTGTTCATAACAATTGGTTTTGATTGGTTAGGGTCTAATATGGGGCCCAAATCCTATCTTTTTGAAAAGAGAATAAAGAAATAGAATAAAAATCCAAAAACCGGATAAAGGACTCGGAGCTACAAGTTCTGACTTCCGACTTCCGTCGGCAGTGCACTGTGGCTCATATTGTCCCGTAACAACGTATATGTACCTTCCGTCGGTTAAATCATGTAAAAACACTTACAATAGAACATAGTAATCATGGTCTAAACATCTTAAGTAAAGTCGTTTTCCAAATGGAATATATGAACAAAAATATTTAAAACCATTTCTTAGCTAACTATTTAACATAAGATTTATGAAAAGATTGAAAATGTGAATTAAAATAAAAGGACGAAAAGTAAAATAATAGAAATTGATTTTAATGAAAATTGGGCTAAAAAAAAACAAGCAATTTTGAGAAAATCAAAGGTAAAATCCACTGGGGTTTACAGTTTTACCAATTACTTATGAGTTAGAAAATGCAACTGTTAGGCTTTCCTAATTCATATTCCACTTGTGTCATACAAGTTAGAACGTATTATAACATACAATCCGTTTGTGGCATTCAGATCAATCTAAACATGCAAGAATCATTAAGATTTGTGAAAACCTTTTAAAAATCCATGCAACCTTTAAAACGTGGCATTCACTTTAACACTATGTTTGGATGAGGGAAATAAACTTGGAATTTGGATTAAAAACATAATTTATAAATTAACATGCACCAATTCCCTTGTTTGGACTCATAAATATAGAAATTTAGAATTTCCGCATGGAAAAAAAACTTTGGGACCTCCAATTCCCAAGTTTAAATTCTATGTAAATATGTGTCATTTTCCAATTTCTATGAATGAGAGTTTAAAAACAACAAATTCCGTATTAAATTCCATTGTTCTTTTAGGTTACCCAAACAAGAAAATTCACAAATTCTATAGAATAAAATTCCATCATTTAAATTTCCGTCATTTTAAAATTCCTTAGTAATCTTAAATTTCTTCATCCAAACATAGTGTAAGTGAAATTACAAATACTAATCACAAAAACGGCTACTCAATTTCAGTGTGGCATTCCAACAGAAATTGCATCAAATTATTTGTGTAAACATCCAAAGGGCAGCCTATCATCAAGGAATATAGATATTTTAACCACTGTGATTAATAACTGTTGCGTAAATTAGATAACCAAAATTAAACTCATTAAGTCTCAAATTTTAGTGCTTGCAAGTATATGAATCAAATGATTGTATAGCATATAAGCATGGATATCGTCCCACAGAGGTCGAAAAGTCTTACTAATTAAATTGAAACAAATCATAGTGGAGAAGCTTTAATGGAAAAGATATAAAACTTTGAAATTAAACTAAAGCTTGAAAATAAAATGCATGTAAATTATAAATTGAAAACATAAGAAAAGAAGACCTAGGGCATCCGAATTCACCGTAACCAATTCTACTCAATTCCCTTAATATGTTATGCTCAAGTAGTTCCCCAATATTGACGATCGATTTTTCCTAAATTATTCAACGGTCATGGCATTTGGTTGCATCAAAAGTATCCTTACATGTTAACTCTGTATGGCATCTAGATGAATTTAAACAAGTAAGAACCCATTAAGCTCTATGGAAATCATTAAAAAATCACACAAACCCTAATTGCATGGCATCTACAAATAGGTGTTTATGGTACCAATTGCAAGAAGCTAAACCCAAGTTAAGTATGACATCTACTCTAACTTGCATCAAATCAACTTAACTTAAACCTAGATGGTGATCAAGCATCTAAATAAAAATCAAGCGCATTAAGAATAGCAAAAGATACTCAATAAAAATGAAAAACTTGATAATAACAATGCCACAAGACAATTAAGTATTCATGATCAGGCTACGTCATAGCCCTAGAAAAGAAAAGAAACTAGAAAAGCTCTTCCCTCTTGTCCTTCTTGCCGTAACCCTATGTCTAATATGATAATGTTTTGTTTTGGTGACTGAATCCTTACTTCACAATGGAGAATCAATCTCCACATATAAAACCTACGGCAAATGTTACTAAAGGCCAATTCAAATGACATCCTAGCTTAATGGACTTTCAAGTCCTTATTAGAGAAAAGAAAAATAAACAGAAATAATAAAACTAATAATTAAGTTCTCTCCTAAAGTCCATTGAATAACATTCCCATGTCCATTTGATCTCCAAAACCGTTGCAGTTTCATGCATTTGTCATGGTGTAGTTAATTAGCCTCTTGCTCCACTGAAATTACCCTAGACACCCGAAAAGCTTGTTTTTCACTCCTTTTTTTGCATAACTCCGGTATTGAATGCCTATAAATTAAAATAATATAAATTAGTGCATTTAACCCATTCATATATACAAAATCCAAAGGAAATATATGATAATAATATATGAAAATATGCACCCATCAATAACTCAAAGTATGCATGCATAACATCAAAAGCAAGTTGACAAAGGTTACATATTCTAGTTAAGGCTCATGGCCTCGCCCTAGTAAAAGGAAATTACTTACGCTGATTCATAATTAAAAGGCAAAATATCATTCAAATAAAGGATAGAAAACACCTTGTAATTGAAGTACACAATCCAAAATGTGTGCCAGAGTTCTCCAAAGTAGTGCGTAGAAAACCCTGATACATGACTACACTATATTTATAGTGATTTTATTCCTCATCCTACCTAATCAAGGCCTTTTAATAAATCTGGAATCTAATTAAAATAATATATAAAGGTTTCTTATCCAAAATAAAATTCAAACTGCATAAGAAATCAAACTTTTGACAGACCAAATCAGTTGCGATTTGATCCCAAAAGATCTTTTAAAAAAAAAAAAAAAAAAAAAAAAAACTTGACACATCCTCTTTGACACACCCCGACCCAGAAAGTCCACTAGGACTCCGAATCGAGATGTGCTAGCCGACACCTGAAAGGTGACAAAGCCATAAAGTGTAATGATGTGGAAAAATTGTGAATAAATTTAAACCTAAGAGTGCCTAAATACCAGAGTGCACTGGCGAACGGGAATAAACCCACTGCATACGTGATGTTAGAGCATAAGTAAGTACAGAAGAGTGAATTGGGAATCGTACCCTCGAAATAATCTCTAGTAATAAGAATCACCACGAACCTTCGATTATAAGAAAGCTCATCTGATAAAATCTGAAGGGTGAAGACAAGACAAAGGTGAGTGGCCCTGTAAGTAAGATTTTTATAGAAGCCATATAGAATATTATAACCCCTCGCTGCAACATCTGTATAATTTCCACAAAATTCATAATATACCACAACACAACATCTCCTCAGTAATATCAACTAATCAGGCGGTTAATAACTTATACTAAAACGTGAGTCGGAGTCACCTAGGGTGACCTGTACGACTTACCTATATCTCATCAATCAATCTAGCTGAAGTCACCTATAGTGACCTATACGGCATATTCACTGCACATAAGTCGGAACCATTAAAAAGGTATGTACGACAAAACTGGGTGTAATACAATTATGCTCAATACAACGCTCTCATAATAGCGGTGCGATAAATCGCTAGTCACCTACAAGTCGGAACCACCTATGATGGTCTGTAGGACAATACTGTGCACCTAAATTGGATCCAATGTGAGCATATGGTGCGGGAGGTGACATTATAAACAGACATATGCCATATCTTTGGCTAAATCACAATCACCCCGGGTGCAGGTTTATGAGCTTTAAATGCATTTAATACAACGTATACGATTCATAAGCAACCTGTACGACAATGCCGGAGTTGCTTAAAAACATAATTGTAGTCATATAATAACCCCATCAATTCAACTAATACTGTATACTTATTTGAACTTACCTAAACTTACCTGAACTTACTTGAACTTACATGTGTGTCCTGCATTCACCTTTGCACTTCAGAGCTATCACAGTAATTATGTGCAAGGAATATACGTATGGATATGCCTCACAGTAGTATTTCCAATTATATAATACAATGTACTAACTATTAATCACCAAAACATAAAGTTTAAATGCACATTTTTCACCAATATCCCTCAATTTGCTCAATTCCTTAAACAAGGCAATTGTTTTGATTATATAATCTCATTTCTTATATGGCTGCATCTAATGTCTCGTTAGATTGCCTACGTACCCTAAACAGGGATCAAGCCACTCGTAGTTTGCATATGGATATATCACAATGAAATCTAAACTCAACCATCTCATAGTATTTTACAACATATAAATACATTTATGTCATGACATAAATTTCTCAGTTTTATTTAAAAGCATTTATAGAATTATCAATCATGAAAAAAATATGATAAGCAAGGAAAGATCCACTCACCTGGAGTCCGCGCTACAACTTCCTAGTACAAACATCGAGGCGTCACAATCGATCGGCGCCTGTGACCAATTATCAAATCATATCTCAGAATTTTTGTTGATACAATACATAACTTACATCGCACATGAGTCTACGTAATTCGGTCTAGAAGATCTATAAATCAGATCTCTAATCCGTAACTTCCAAGGATCCACATTATGTTTCTAGAATAACATACTAAAGTTTCGGAATGATCCAACGGTCGGATATCCGCCAATTGCCAAAACCAAATGGCGGTTAACATTTTATTTTATGAACTTACAAATCCAATTCGAGAAGATCCGTACATCGGATTCCGGATCCGTAAGTTCCTATATTCCTAAAATATTATGAATAATAACCTATTAAAGTTTGATGACGATCCAACGGTCAGATCGTCGATTCATACAATGGCCTATTAACGTATCTTAGAGAATTTTGGTTCTAACGATCAATCTACGTCATGCAATTCTCAAAACTTAATTCAAGGCATCAAATATAGCCTAAAATAGCATTGGCGGCCCTCTGGCCACGTGCTGCCGTGGGTGGCGGTTGGCTGCCCCGACTTGTCGAAAAAATCAACTATCTCTAAAAATTACCAAAATTTTTATATTTGAAGATCTCAATGAGTAGAACAACTTTCATACCTGTGACCAAGGCCAATTTGCCCTGGAAAGGCTCCAATTTCATCAAAACCCGTTGAAACCCTAGAATTGGGTGTGCTTCGATTCGACCTCCAAACGTGTTTCGACGCCTCCACCATTGATTGGGCTTTGTTCCTGGGTTCTAGGGGAGTCTAGTGGTGGTAGAAATTTGCTGGATTACCTTCACGATCGTCGGATTTTGTCATGGCACCCTCGGAACCCATAGTTTCGTTCTACTCGAATTCAAGCTCAAATCCCATAAAATCTGATTGGGAATGGAAGAGGAAAGGACTAGGGGATGATTGGGAATGGTTTCTTGGTCCAAATTTGTGAGAAATCCGGTGGAAAACCACCGGAAAATATGAAGAAATGGGAATGGGTGTACACGGGTCACGAGTTAGGAACCCGTTTCCCCCTTTTTCCCTCGCTCGCCACTCTCCCTCCTTTCCCACCTCGCTTCTGCTTCTAATTGGGCAGTCTCTCTCTTCCTCTCATTTGATTGGGCAGCAACCCTTCCCTCTGTTCTCTCTCCCGTCCCCTCTTTCTTCTTCCTCTTCTTCTTCCACTAATTTTTAAAACCACTAATTGATAGACCAAATATATCATTATAAAAATGTATAAAATATATAAATAGCGACTAAACAAAAGTACTTCTCGGTTTTAAAATTCTGTAACGTCAAGTATTTCAAGAAAACGCTAAGTATTAGTTCATACACCTCGCTATACGTTGGTCAAAGGATGTCAGACCCTCGCCTCTAAAGGCATTTTCGTAAAATCACGCTTTTAAATTTTGTAAAAACGTAAGATTTGGGACGGGTTGTCACACTCTTCAAATGCTCAAAAGGATCCTTCCACAAAAAAAAAATGTCATCTTGATCGTCCAAATGCCTAAACGTCCAGAAATGTCAATCTAGGAAAGCTAAGCAGTCAGCACTTATTTCTTCACTCGGTCAAATGACATGGAATAAAAATCTGGAATTTTGACATAATCATCTTGAAAAACTCACAAACCCTCTCCAATTGGAAATACTAAAAAATTCGTCAGTTTCATCACTTTATGCCCAAAGTGAATTCGCATGTCCTACACTTTGAAAATATAGAACAAAACATTTTAATTCTACCAAAATAACAAGTAAATTATAACTAAGATTAAGATAAAATATAAATGAATATCGACTCATCAGTGTGAACTAGCAAAAATGCCCACACGTTGCTGTGGGACTTGAATGCACCAACCTTAACCAAATGAATAAGACATTTAACCTGAAAAAAATTCAACATAATCATGAGTGAACAAAAGGGATAGATGAGTGAAAGGTGTCGGTAAGATAAGCAGTTCGGCTTTTATATAAATTCAACCGAGCTGATTATAAAAGATATAGTTGCAAAAAAATGCTCTGTTTCCTAAGAAACATAAGCAACATGCATTTAACACTTTATATTGCCTTTCAAGTTAAGATGGCAAAATATATGTCCTACAGGCTAGGCACGTGTTTTAACAGCTAAACAAAAAAGCAAAGAAAGAGTGTTATACTTATTTCAGCAACTAATCTTTCAAGCACTAATGTATGGATTAATGTATGATATCTGAGATCCTATTTGTTTTTTATTGACTGATGTTGAATCATCCACCTAATTCATATCACACATCCATAGATACCTGAGAACGCTTATTCCCACCACCATTGCGTTGTTACTTTAGTAAGTTTTTTCACTAAGAAGAAAATGAAAGAGCATCACGAAAACACTAACAATTTCAACTCTAAAACGTCACCTTATTCCTATGACCCACCTCAATCAACAACAAAAGAAGAAAAATAATTGATCCCTTCAAAGAGGCTTTCATAAACTAAAAGATGTCCTACCCATCCAAACGAAAGTGGGATATTATTTTCAGTCCCATGTGATATCGGCACAATGGAGGGCGACTCTGGTAATTTCAAATCACAAATAACTCAAAGAATCCAGTTAACCACATCATCCCCACCAACAATCTGAGAAGAAATATATGTTAGAAAGACAGCTACAGCACAACCCAAAGATTAATTAAAGAAAAAAGTATCCAAAATGTATGTCAGAAAGTGTTGAAACTATAATTACAAATCCAAAAACAAAAACAAAAAAAATAAGAAAAAGTGTTGAACAATTGGCTATATGGGATAAATTTAACATGCTACTCACTATAATTCTCATCCTCTTTTGAATATCATCAGCAAACTCATATTTTTTACTCTTATGTAGAGTACCATAAACCTCCTTTAGCACGCCCTCAGGATCCTCTATCTTTATTGGCCTCTTAGAATCAGAGTCCTCTTCCAGCACAGCAAAGACCTAGGAAAGAAATTATAATTTGAAGAGTAAATTGTAGCAATGGTCCCTTAATTTTAATCAAATTGGAACAATGGTCCCTCAACTAAAAATTCATTATCATTGGTTCCTCAACTTATCAAAATGTGTAGCTATAGTCATTTTCATCAATTTCGTCAAAATAAGTTATGTTGGAATAACCATTTATATAATTAGGGTCCTTCAACTCATCAAAGTGTGTAATTATGGTCATTTTCGTCAACTATGTCAAATTTTTTGTCAAAACGAGTTATGTTGGAAGGACCATTGCTACAATTGGGTTAAAGTTAAGTGACCATTTCTCTAGTTGAATTAAAGTTCAGGGACCAATGATAATGAATTTTTAGTTGAGGGACCATAGCTGCACGTTTTGATGAGTTAAGGGACCAATGATAATGGATTTTTAGTCCATGGTAATTGATTTTTAGTTGAGCGACCCTAGCTGCACGTTTTGATGAGTTGAGAGACCAATGATAATGGATTTTTAGTTGAGGGACCATTGCTTCAATTGAGTTAAAATTAAGGGACCATATCTACAATTTACTCTAATTTGAACACTATCAAGTTAAGCATATTTACAATCATGCAGGTCAGATTTCTTTTTTAAAATAATCATTTCAAAATGCCTTTCTCCAAGGAGAGACAATTACAAAGAGAGAAAGAATAATACCTGTTTTTTTATTAAGACGGTAGCAAAATTCGTTATAGAGTCGTCCTCCAAGTTTTTCATCTTTTATATCAACAAACACTAAAACTGGGCAGCTTGGTATATCAACGGAAGGTTTACCATCCTGTTCGCATCAGGAATTTCCGTCGGGGATGTCTCCTGGCCGACGAGCACACAGCTCCCCTGGAGGTTGGCGCCGGTTTGAGGGCTGCTGTCGGGCTTCTGCTTCGCTGTCGGGCGTTGTCGGGCAAGTCTCGTCGGGCAAGACTCTTCGGGCAAGGCTCTTCGGGCAAGGCTGAAAGAGAAGGACAGCGTTAACTTTGAGAGGTGCCTTTGTGGGGCCTTAGGTGTAGGCCTTGAGGCTTCCTATCAAGGTTAACATTTAGGTGCTTAGGTGTGCCACTGCCATCTTTAGCATGGTAGATGTAAAATGGATATTGCTTTAGTTGTATGTATGTATGTATCCAAGAAACCGTGTTAGTTATAACATGTGCCTTTGTGGGGCCTTAGGTGTAGGCCTTGAGGCTTCCCATCAATAACTAAACCGGTGCTTGAACACATCATATTTGTTCTCGTGATTGCCGGAGTTTTCTAACTATTATACTTCTGATTACCCGAGTCCAAGAAGTAGAATGAACCCAAATAGGTGCCTTTGTGGGGCCTTAGATGTAGGCCTTGAGGCTTCCTATCAGAGTTCATTCCTATACTTAGACTCTTTAGATCGCTGAACGGAATAAATCCAAATGGATGCCTTTGTGGGGCCTTAGGTGTAGGCCTTGAGGCTTTCCATTAGAATCCATTCCATGCTCAAGCTTTCTATAGTAATCATGATATAATAGAAGGAAAACTAGAGGGTAGGTTGATTACTTGCGCCCCAAGTAACTTCGGACTTCTCGTTTATCAAGGACTGTCGTGGATGGGTTAAGTCCACATAAGGTTCTTTTTTTGCCTTGAGGCCAAGACTTTAACTAACTGATCAGATTTACATGCCCGAGGCTTAAACTTGGATCTCTTGGATCTGGTTTGAACACTGACGATATATTCAAATCGGATTCAAGTACTGAGAAAGCCTTTTAATAGTCATATTGCTAGAAATAACTTGCATATAACTGGAAGTATACAACATATTGAAAAGACAAAAACAAAGCAAAGAAGGTCGGGCAAGGTTAAACCTTATCGGGTAAGGTTGCTCGTCTTGTAGGTTCCTATCTTTAGTTTTGTCAAAGGTCTGAAAGCTTAGAGGGAGAGAGATAGATTACAAAAAACTGAATCGATACTACAGCAAGGTTGAACAAGATAGCAGAGCTATTACAAAGGGTTGAAGAGAGGGTTATCCCGAGGGGGATGAAGGCTTGTCCCGAAAGGGATGAAGGCTGACTACAGCTTTGTTTTGAAGGAAAATCTGGTTTTGAGCAGAGTTTTTGCTTTTGTTTGTTTGTTTGAGTGTCCTTATTCCTGGTTTCTCCTTCTTCTTATATAGACAACTTGGCTTGGCTCCTGTAGCAGCAGCCTTGCCCGAATGCGGTTTGAGGGTGATGACTCATCGGCTTTTTTACATGGACTGCCATCATAAAGTACTTTATGGGCTGTGTAGCTGATCAGTCTATACCACTTGTCCTTTGGGTAGGTAAGCAAGTAGTCTTCATGAGCTGCACCAAGTCAGAAAAGGCCATTTCTGCCTTCTGGGCTTTGACTGAGCTTCGGCTATCTTCCCTTTGGGCCTCATTTCGGGCTAGCTCCTTTCTTGAGCCCAAAGTTAACTTTTAATCCAAACAGTGCCCCCTTCAATTAATATTTAGCCTGGAATTCCAGGCGCCAATATTGATTGAATACCCGCATGCGTGCATTTCAATCTTTTGGAACTTCGTGTTTTCTAGACAGGATGAAGGCAACCCCATGCCCCTTGCTCTTCTCACGACCTTTGAACTATCCCCTGGGGCTCTATAAAATCTGGCTCGAAATCTCTTCTGTCAAGCCATCAAATTTTCTTCAGCCTTTTCTTCCATCATCTTCGAGCGTTCAGAAACCGAGCAATGGGTTCCTTAGGCTTTGAGTGGGATTTCCTAACACTCCCTTTTCGTGAGAAAAAGAGCCTTCCTCAAAAGACTGTTGTCTCCAACACCCTTGGTCGAACACCTCACTATCTCCAACACCCTTGGTCAGACGGTTTCCTCTCGCAGGCTCGTCTTCCCGCTTGCTGCGGTGATAAATCAGGCTTGACCATCACCTACGACGATGGTCCTGTCTGAGGATCCTCTACCAGGCCCATGTTGGCCGCACAACCCGATCATCTAATCGGGTTCCATCCATGAAGACATCGGAAAATCAGCTGAAGATCCCATAACACCTAGAAAGAGATTTGATTGTAATGCGTTGGCTTTAGATCTTTTTGTAAATCTTATCAATTTGTCGAAATGAAACATATATTATCTCAGCAACTCTTGTCTTTCCATCTTCTTGAATGATCAATATATACTGCACATTGATATCCCGAAGCTTGCTTTACCTTGCATCTCCTTCGATATAACAGTCTCTGACATCCCACAACGTAGGACAATATTTCTTTAAGAATATAACATTAATGGGATGTCTATGCCTGTTTCCCTCAAGGTCCGCCAAATAGTATCCCCCTCTATCCAAAATGCGACTAATAATGAAAGGACCTTCCCATGTCAGGCTCCATTTTCCAAAGCCCCTAAGCTGAGCTCTTAGAGGGAGGACGGTCTTCCATACTAAGTCTCCCTCCTTGAAGGATTTCATCTTCACCTTTTTGTTATAAGCTCGGGCAACGACTCGTTTTCCTTCTTGAATCTGGTTCAAAGCTTCAATTCGGGCGGCATCCAAGTCTTCAATTCCTTGACACATGGCCTCGACATACTCCTCACTATGCAATCCAAATTGATTTTGAATTCTTAAAGAACTCACATTGATTTCCACGGGGAGCACTGCATCTTGCCCGAAAGTTAAAGCATAAGGAGTTGTCCCTGTTCCTGCTCTTAGAAGTTCTGTATGCCCACAAAGTGTTCCCCAGATTTTCATGCCATTTTTCTGGGCTATCAATCACCATTCTCTTGATAATGTTGACCAGGATCTTGTTGCTGGCTTCTGCCTGGCCATTTGATTGCGGGTAGTATGGACTGGACTGGATCATCTTTATTTTGTACTTACTTGCAAACTCCTCAACTTCTTTTGAAATAAAAGATGGTCCACGATCCGTCACAATAGTTTCGGGCACTCCATATCTGTGCAGGATTTTGGTCTCGATAAAATTCTTGACCGTGGCTGAAGTTATGGATTTTACTGCTGATGCTTCCACCCACTTGGTAAAGTAATCCGTTGCTACAATTACGAAGGTATGCCCTTTGCTAGAAGCTGGATAGATTTGCCCGATGAAGTCCATTGCCCATCCTCTGAAGGGCCAAGTCTTAACCACTGGATTTAAAGGCACTGAGGGCACATGCTGGAGAGGTCCGTGCCTCTGACATTCTTCACATCCTCGGGCATAAGACTTACAATCTTTTTCCATGTTGGGCCAGAAATAACCATACCTCCTAAGCAACCATCTCATCTTCGTTCCAGCCTGATGTGCTCCACATACTCCTTCATGTACTTCGGCCATTACCCTCATGGATTCTTCTTGGCCCAAGCATTTCAACAGTAACCCATCTGGAGTTTTCCTTAGCAAGTTCTTCACCCATAAGACATACTTGGTTGCTTGCTGTCTATCCTTCTTGCTTGTAGGCGAGGAAGGATCCTTCAAATGATGAATAATAGGTGACCTCCAATCTTCTATCTCGGCCTCTAGCACCATTATATCTAGACTGAATCCCCTTTCTAAGATGGAAGGGAGGTTTCTTCTTTGGATCTCGATTTCTACCCCATATTTCCTCTCCTCTATTGGCACTCCTGAGGCTAGTTGTGCCATCTCGTTGGCCGCTAAATTGGAATCCCTGGGAACATGATTGACCGATATCTCAGAAT